CCACTGGGGGGGCGCAGAAGAAAAAGTTTGGGAACCACTGAGTTAGACTATAAGACCAAAAGGCTCATCTCATATTAGAGCTACACCTAAGATAGCTCTTTAAGTGTAGCTGTAAAATCATTTTGTAGTCTGGCTTCAAAATGATTACAGCAGATCTAAAATGTGTCTTTTATCTCATCAGTTTTAGATTTTTGCCTTTAGTTTCTTTGGTGGAGCAGCATAAAGCATTTTCTGTAACTTTATTTTTATTTTCAACTAACAAACATTATCAAATGATTAACATTTTGGGGAGATGTTCTAGATGTTCTTGATATAATCTGGATTTCTCGGTCATCTGTTGCTAATTTTTCTTCGATCTCATCACAGATTAACTGTCGCATGTACTTAACTTATCAAATATGCAAAAGACATTTTGGTAAATTTTTTAATTTACCAAGAATAAATTTGACTTATTACACACTAAAATTTTAATGAAATCCTTTTTTACTGTAACTGCCAAATGTAGCATGTGCTTCTGTTTTAAATAATTAATAAATACACTTTATCAGGAAGGACACGACAAATATTTTCAGTGCAGCTCTCATATCTTCCAATTATAAAATTCTTCAAGTAAACAAATCAGTTAAAATCTGTATTGGCAAGTAGAAGCTTTACAAAGCCTGCCAACTTATTCTGATCAGTGAATCTTTGCAAAAAAAAAAAAAAGAGGGACAATTCCAAAAAGGCTGCTTCAAAACTGGTACGAGTGACTCCATAAAATTGAGTCTCATTAGTTTGAGTTGCGTTCAACATGGCCATGTGCAGTTGTGCATGTCTTACCAGCTGGTGTTTATAAGAGCTCCCCGCCCCTGGAAACACGACTGACAGCACTACTTCTAGTGATAAAACTCTGATGTAAATACAGTAATCATAATCAATCTAAGATTGAGATATTAATTTAAATCTATAAAAGCCAAGATTTAGTCTCTAATTGCCGTTTTTAATCCTTTATACACATTTTTAATATTGTTTAGCTTCAATGCATCAAAGCCTCTTTCTTCCTCACTGCATCACTTTTTTGTCCAAGCTGTTTACCTTCAGGGTCGTGGAGAGACTGGGCAGCGTCCATTGCAGTTTTGCACAAACAGTAATTGGAAGCAAAACAACAAGCTGCTCTTAAGCTTAGTTCTGTTGTACCTCTAATAATGAGCTTATGTGGATTTGGCTGGTTACACGTGTCCTGATGAAGAATGAGAGTCTATTGACAAGCAGACAGACGCAGATGGATACACTCACAGCCGGAGCCAAGATTCAGGAGAGGCTGCTGGCTGTAAGCGTCGAACTGGAGCGGATCTCTAGACAGCAGGCCCGTGCCAACTAACACAAAGAGGAACAAAAATGGCAGGGGATCCCCTTCTCTTTCCACCGTCTCTCCTAAAACAAGACTGTGATGGACGTTGGATGCTCGAAAGAATTTAAGAAGTATCTTTTGAAGCGAGTCGCATATCGTTCCTTTAAACCAACTGGCATGTGAAATAATAAAATAAATGTGACATTTTTTTAATAAGCGCTGCTGTGCCAAATGGACTGAAGAAAATCTCAATAGAAATGGGACAATGTCTGCATGAAAATAATATATGCACACTCATCTTCATATCCTAAAGTCTCAATGGTGCTTTGGCCAAATTAACTTTTAATGATCCAATTCCACTTCATGGACTTTTGTGCACAAGTGATATTACTTTTAAATATGCATACTGACTGACCTCCTTGAAAATGCTACTTTGCATGTTGCCTTAAAACTTTTTATTTTGCTATGGAATAAATGTCCAATTCAGTTAGAAATATCTACAGCCATGCTAAAAGGAAAATATCACTCTATTCTTTCTTGGACTTTACATATCAATTTCAAACCCAGGTTTTTTTATGAATTCCTCTTTACTTAATACATATTAAAATGGCAGATTCTGTAATGTGTTGATTTATATATTTAAGAACATAGTGAAGACATTTAATCGAATTCCTACATATTTTTGGTCATCAGATAATTGTGACAGAGTCATTTAGATTGGTTTTCTGTGCTATATGAAATAAGCACATTAATTGTCAGTTTTGCCAAAGCGCTGTAAAATAGCCATTGGGATTTGGGCATCATTGTGTGATTTAGGTGTTGGATGTCAGACGCTTTCTTAGTACTTTTGTTCTCTCTGAATATGAAGCTACCGCCCAGTCAAACCTTGCACTGAGGCATATTTACAGTTCAAACAGCTCCATGACCTATTGTGTAATGCTTCTTTTATTAGCCAGGCAGGTATATAAAGAAGAACTTTCAATTGTGAGTAGTTTTCAAATGGCACAGTTCTATTAACTTAAAGGAAGTAATTATACCTCTGCAGTGTTTTCTCATGTGCAGCCAGCAGGAGGTGAATTACTATCATAAAGCATTTAATTTCTCATGTAAAGACAAGCCAAATCAATGCTAAGTATGGTGTAATGAGTATTCAGCTACAATATGAAAACTAGAACAACAGCAATTACGCCAATAAAATCATAGCGGAGCACCGCTCAGGTTCCTCCCACCTACTTCACTATTAGTGCGACTCAGAAAAACTAATTATCAGGTGGAGTAGCGACAACGTGTCCTCATGAAGCCAGATGTTGAAAAAAAGTGAAATGGGATCTAAAAGGAATTTTTTTTCCCTAGCATCTCATGGTTTATTTGTTTTCCAAAAGCACTGGAGAAAAACAGGCAAAAAGTCACACCCACACAGGATTCAAAGTCAATTCAGAGGCATGTAAACACTCAGAAAACACAGTAATTAATGACTAACCCTGTAAATTGAAACCTTACAGTGGCACTGTGCTGACTAAATAGCTGAAAAGAGTGGGATTTAATTATATATTTCATAAGAGTGCATTAAAATGATAATATGCATGTTCAAGTAAAAGAAGACAAGAATGCATTTTTTCAGCTGAATTTCAGAATGCTTATCTATAACTTAAAATATTATTTAACTTTTTTTGTATATTTCTTCAAAAATAATTAATCAACAAAGAGATTTATTACAAAATTACTTATACAGATTCATTAAGTTTTTGTAGAGATCTCCATTATGTAATTTGACCTTTTATTAAAAGGGATAGGTACATAAGAGGATTAGGGCCACTGGAAAAAAGAAAAAAAAATCTGACTTCAATCTCAAAATTCTGACTTTTTTCTCAGAACTGTTGTTTTTATTTTTTATTTTTTTTTGTCCCCAGTGGCCCCAGTCCTCTTCCATAGATAGGTTTTGTTTCTTGTAGATCACTTTTATGCCTGTTGATGCATATTCAACACATAGCATGAATCATATTGGAAGCACTTTGTCAACATCTAGAGCTTGGAGTTTAGCCAGGTTATGCTTAATTTAGTGATTTAGCATGCTAAACACCAAAATGTATTTGATATATTTTCAGAAATAGTTTGTAGTTTATTTAGAATCTGTCAGCAAAATTCATTTTGTATATATTTGTAAAATAATGTCAGGCAGTAATTGGTTAATTCATGTTTTGCTCCTCCTGTCCTACTTTATTTCTACCCCTACCTTTCTTGTGTCATTTATTTACTCCCTCTATATATTTAGGGTAGCTGTTGCATGCCAGATTGTCTCTTATCTCTATTGTTTTCTCTACTGTCATGTTCAGCCCATTACTTTATGTTTGTTTAGCATCTTCGTTTACACAGGTAGTCTGGCTGTGACTCAAGGCTCTTTTTCAAAAGAGATTTTAAAGCAAATTATCTGCAGGTGTAATTACCAGAGGAAGGCTCAAGTACCAATTAAAATCTAAATAAAACACTAGAAATGGGAACATTTTTTTTCAATTACACTTTTTCTTTATTTGTGAAATAGACGTAAAGTCAATGAGGAGACTTAAAATTTATAATTCATTCTTGTAGCTTGTTCAGATCTGATTGCCTTCAGCTGGAGCTTCTCGAGTATTTAAAAAGTCTTTGTAAGTGAATCTTTACTAGTGAAGACCAAGTGTTTGCATAGATCAGAAGAGTTAGTATTCTTATTTTTGGGTGGTTGTTGTGACATTTTAGTAGTTTCTGCATTAATTTTGCACAAGTAGAGCATATGTGTGGGTATGTGTGGTGACAATGAACTTTGCAAAACTGAAAAAAAAAACAACAACAACTTGCTGGCAGAATATTACATTTGAAAAAAGTATTAACAGCATTTTTCATGTAAGATGTGATGGTGATAGGTGTGTTACCAGTTTAGCTTTTTTATAGTAAATATCTGACACTGAACACATAAAATAAAAATAGTATTCTTGTTGAATCGCAGAGATGTCCTGATAAATATTTCCACCTCACAAAAGCTGAACGGTTCAGTCCACTCTCACACTCTCGCTGAGCAGTCTAGAGGAGACTGAGCTGGAGCCTCAGTGACTCACACTAATTCAAAAATGACCCACTAGGAAATTAATAACACCACTTGAAAGGCACTTGTGAGTATAAGAGAATATGTGCAAATCGGCTGCTCAAAAGCAAGCCTGCAGATGTAAACGACGAATAAAAGGTGATTTCCTTTATTTTAGGTTGAAGGATTGTAACTGCAAATGTTTACAGATTGTAGTGGAACTTTTCTTTAAGGTTGATGCTTCTTCAGTTCTGATACTGCAGACCTTTCACTACTTTTGGAAATGAGTAGACCTAAATAGGTAGTAAAATAAATATATACTAAATTCTTTCTCTCCCACACATTGATGGTGCTAGATGAATATATTATCACTGGCGACTTCTGTTCACCTACACACATGCTGTTTGTCTCGCATCACACCGTCTATATATAGACAGAACATTGTATACATAATGTATTTGTGAGCTAAAAACTGTCTTTGTGGGGGAAACGAAAAGAAAATGTTTTAATTCAACAACTGGCCGAGATGGAAGAAAAACGCAGGGCAAATTGTAGTATAATTAGCCATGCTCTGACAATAGTTAAATGTATTCTTTCCAGGTAGTCGGATAACTGTTTACCTACTTGTGTTTTTTTCCAATCTCAAGATGAATTGAGCAATGGTGTAAAAGGTCAGGGATTGAAAAATGGTCCAGAAAACAAATGCATCCAAATTCCTCAAAGCTTCAACTTGTTTTGTTAAATTGGGGTTCTCCATTTTATTGGGGGGGGGGGTAGTTAGGTTCAGACATCAGTAAGCTTTGCTTTAGCATCCATAGATAACATGGATGCTGCATGCAAAACACAGATGAATGCAAAATAACAAAGTGTCCAGTCACTAACAGCCCCCCAAAAGCTGCTGTCACACTGTGATTGTTATCAATCTTAGACAAAATCTTTTGTCGTGGCTCGTGAAAAAAATCCAAAGAAAATTGTTGGTGATGAGCTGTGATTGGTGGTCTGGGGATTTTCAGTGAGAGAGGCACACAGACTGCCCTTTATGTTTTCTCAACTAAGGAAAACCTATCGTGCACTGTCTGAAAATTTTCAGTTATTTTGTTTTTTATTTTTTGCCAAGTTACACAGTTTTCTCCTCTTCTCTTTTTTTTCAAGATTATGACTAATATTAAGTGCAACGAGATGTTTTGCATTCGGACCAAAAGTGCTGTTAAATCTTTCTGCTTTGAACCAACATTTTCCATCCTACCATATGACAGGAGATTCTAGATTCCATCATATTGACCCCAGACAGGCTGACATGTTTAATTTCCTTTGCACTGTTCCAATTGCACGGTGTGTGGAAGAACTTAGACTGCTGTCACACCAGATTCCTGCAAAAAGATATTTCTGCAGCACCTTCCAAAGATCTTTCCTCACATACCCAGAAGTGGAAAATTAATTGCAAATCTTTCTCCATCTTACCACTAAGTTGGCATACCCAAAATCACTGGTACATGTTTTGTCTAAGGACTGAGTCACCCAGGTACATGTGTTTTTGCTGCTGAACTCCCCTGACAGTCTGTGTACCAAAATCTAATTACATGAAAACAAGCAAGGGAAATTAAAGAATTTAATTTAAATCTAAGGAATTGACGAACATCTATAGCCTGACCCCATGTAGAAACACATTTAGAAATTAAAATATGAACTTGTTTTACTTTTGATCACAACATACAGGCTCACCATTCTCTCGGTGTTTCTCCTTTTGCATGCATGTATGCTCACACATGTAGACATGTAGATCTCATAAAAGCAACTATCCGTACCCCCTCCAAACTGTGTCATCTATTGTCTCCCTACTTTTGATTTGGATTCTCTCCAAAATACTGATTTGTGATTGGTTGGTTTAATGTGTGGCTGGAAGGCAGCACTTTCCAACAGCAGCAATCCCAGGAAGACAGGCACTATTAGGTAGCAGGCCTTACATTCAGTACAATTTTCTCTCTAATTTATCTGAAATGGGAAGCCCTGCAGCCCATCCCCCAACTGTATTCTTCCAATTTAACAGATCAGTATGAACCGGTTTCCTCGTGAGGGTTTTATTTGAAACGGCATAGATGATACGTGGTGTGCAGCAACATGGTTCCAAGTAGACTCCAGCTTTTCTCTTCTCTGTTTGAGCAAGATTTAACACATTATTATATAACCAACTAAGGCGATAAAGTACAATCCTAATTAAGCACATGGTACTTTTTGCTTCCAATTAAAATTTACCTTGTGATTTCGCTGTTCGCAGTCTGTCAGATTTTACAGAAACCATAGCATTTTTGTTGAAATCCAGCCACTTGTCATGTCTCCAGTGATCGGAGTCTCTGACACTGGACACTAACCCCATGTAGAGGTGTGTGAAATACGGTGCAAATATAAAAGAGCACATTCAAAGCACTCTGTATGTGCTTTGCTGCAGACTTGGTTCTATGCATGCTTGGGCAGGTAACGACAAAAACACTGGCAGACAGCATTGTGCGGTTTTGTGCCAATTAACCCATTCAGTTTTACACAAGTTCTTACAAAGAATATGTGTGTTATATGAGCACTTGTTTAATCTGAGATGGGGCTTCCAAAGAGCACTGGGGAAAAAAAAGTTTTAAAGGGTATGCAGATTGTTGGACATTTCTTCAAAACATACTGTCTTCAAAATGAGCTGGAAGCTAGTGAGGTGAAAAAAAGCATTCGCATTTCAACAACGTGATAAAATCACAGCACCATATGGAGCCCTGGCATGATGACTACAGCGGATTCAAGGTCTTGGTGGTCTCATCTAATATAAATGTCTCATCTAAACTTTTCCCCAGTCAACATCTGAAAATACCAGCAGCTTCCAAACTGAGATCAGTCTCATGTAAATGTACCCCAACTAAAGTTTCATAATGAGAAACTTTACTTAGGCTCTCTAATTTATCTAAATTAGAGAACAGAAATACAGACGTTAATTTTTCCAGCAGGATCATTCAATTTCACATGTCAGAAACTTGGTGAATGAGGTATGGAGGAGCTTAAAAATGAAATACTCAAAAAAACGGACTAGAAGCATTTTGGGATTTGGTTCGTATGTATAAACCTTCTTGGCTGCATGATTAAATCACACAATTTTGTAGTGCCAGCATTATTGTTCTCTTATGCAAAATGTATCATCACATGTGGATGCACATTTAATTTATACATGAAATATTGCAGTTTTTACTATGTACAAAACAAACAAGGGAAAAGAAAGCGCTCTCACTCTTTGAACCCTTTAGTTTATTTTTCCACAAAGCAGATATGTCTGGCAATACTATCAACAAGCCAACAGAAAACTAACACCATTGCTGTGGTGGTGTAGCAACAGATAGTGCCAGCTGCCCTGCTAAGGCTGTGGATAAAAGTGCTACTGCCAGCAGTTTCTGCCTGTAATAATACTGTTTGCAAATACTTTGCATGTTCAAAATTATTTTGTCAATTGTCCCAAAATATGGGACTGTTCAAATAACTTCATCATGTTAGAGAAATGTTTAAGTTTGTTGAAAAGTAATGTGTGTATAGCTGTAGTTACGTATCTCATTATGCAAAATAAACCTTTGCTCTTTTCAAACTTCTTATCTTATTGGTACCATACAAAATTATAAACCTTTTCACCTTTGGTGTGGTTACAACTGCAACCTTTTATATATTTTAATTTTAAAGTTTTTGTGTATTCTTCGTTGTGCAGAATCTCAGGTGGATGAAAAAACGTCCATTGTAGCATTTAATAAATCAACATAAATGGGCAGATATTGGTGTGCAAATTCACTCAGGATCAAAAAAACATTTTGGAGGCATATAACACTGAACTGTGTTACCATGGTGATCATTATTATATTTAGATATAAGCAGGGAGGACAAGGAGGGAAAGAACATTATATAAACTAAACTTTGAGAAGTTAAAGTTTAAGGCAAATTGGGTGAAAACAGCATAAAGTACTTTTTATGCTGTTTTTTCCAGTTTTTCAGATTTTCTTTAGATCTATTGGGATGGACGTTTTTAATTTTTTGGTGTATTTTTTTTAACTGTCTCAAAAAGAAACTAAGAATATAAAATAAAGATAAAATCCAAAGAGTGTTTTTCTGTTTCTAGCTCACAGAGTGCTCATATTATATAATCAATATCTGACAGCAGAAGTCGCACAATAAAAAGTCACAAGATTATTAGATTTCAGATTTTGTTTTCGTCTGTGCTGGTTGCAATCTGTCTGAAGACCTTTTCCTAAAAAGAAAAATCATTGGTAATTTGACTCTTAAGCCTGTCTGTCAGTGGTGAATGTGTGTGTCTGCATGCCCTCCGGTTGCATATCCACCGAGCCTGTCAGTCTTGTTAGGGACGCCAATCTCACAGTGGCATTTGGGGGGAAAAAAAAGACTGACATTACTTGGCCGGTAACTGAATTATTCATAACCTTGCACATTTAATCAAAGAAGAACAGCCAACAACCGCCATTAGAGATCTCACAGCTTGATTGGATTATACAATCCTTGAACTATTTATTGTCAAGATAACAGCAAAACGCTGTTATTTTTTCATCAGGCAACCTTTATTTCTCTTCTCACTTTCTGTCCCATTCGTGTCGCCTAAACCAGACATTCACTTTGAACACAGGTGGACTAAAACCCTCCTGGGTAACAAACACATCCATGTACAAAGACTCACACTGACACTGAGTGAAACACTCACCGACGTGTACAGGTAGCCCTCACTGTTCATTGCTAGATAGAGTTTGGTCTGCACCCCTTGGATGGCCACCACTCGCAGTCCCACCGGAATGAGGTTGAACATGGCTGAAAACAGAAACACGTTTATCACTCACAGGGAAAATACAGCATTTTTAGAGTAACTAAAAGGGATACACAAGCAAGATAACATTTCTGAAGCTATCATATGTAAACTGCTTTGTCAGAGTTCCCTACCTAAAATGTTCCATTTCCTTTCAAGATAAGGGAATATGAAAGAATAAATATTTCACAGACCATGTCAATGCAACAACCTACAAAATATACCAGCTTTAGGAAGAAAGTATTAAAATGGTTGACTATTTATTTGACTGGATTTTCAATTAGTTTTTTTTGTTGTTTTAAGAGTGATATAATTAAACACATTTTGTGTCCCAAGGATGTATTTCATTCAACTTAACATGTTGAATGAAATACAACATCCACAAATGCCAATTTGTGGATCTTTTCGTAAAACACATCTAAATTATATAAAAGAAAATGCCACTGAAGAAGCTTAAATACCTACAGGCATGGTACTACTTGACTGGTTATTGGTTGGAGGCAATAACAAGTCAATAAAAAGACAAGTGCTATTTATTTTCCCGAACCCCGAGCCAAAGTGGTATATAGGGAATACTTAGGTAATTGGCTTCTGCAGATGTGCTGAAATGGTTTTCACTCTGCATATTTAGTGTTTGAACTATTAAAATAAGAAGTTAAAAGCATTTTTTCATATCACACAAACTAAATATCAGATTAGCCACTGCTAGCTGACAGTCGCTACTCTGAAAATTACTCAACAGTGAATCACTCTAAATTCACTTCAACTAACCACTACACACAGGATAAGATTACAAAACCATTAAAATATAATAATGTCTGTCTGGTTCCAGACAAAGCTGCTGGAATATTCTTTGTGGCCGCGCCAACATTTACACAAACAACAGTCACTTATATGAACCCTGTGGATTGAACTCAGGCCAAAATACACACAAAAAATAAATAAATATAAACCTGTCTGTGATTAGGAAGCTGGATATTGGTTTTGTGTCTGAAAGGAGCAGCAGCAACCCAGCTGGTCACTGAGGTATATCTCCACCTAATTAATATCTGCTTGTTCAGTGGTGTGTGTGTGTGTGTGTGTGTGTGTGTGTGTGTGTGTGTGTGTGTTTGTATAACTTACTCATATTGAAGTCAAAGGTTGATTATAAGAGTCCACATAAATACCCGTCTCTCTAACAAAACAAACTGCTTTGTGGTGAGCCGACGACTGCAGGGACTTATTAATGAAAAGCCTGACGTGTTTTACTTTACTGGGTATGGAGACAAACATAATAATGCTGATGTTATTTTAAACAATCCCTTTAAGCTTATGTTCATGTATGTTTTTTTTATTTATTTTTTACTTAAACTCTACTGAAGCTCTGGTTCAGTGAATCCTCACTATAAATATCCACATCTCAAACACTTCTGGGTGAAGTGAACTATAGAGGCTTTTTGAAGGGTCACTTTATTTCCTCTCTGTGTTTAAGCGCAGCAGACACTGTTTGCTTTAAAAAAAGCATCAGCCAGAAGAATGTATATTGTATTTACTTTACAGCAGCTTTGAGAGATTAATTTTACTTTAATGGGAAATACATCCATTTCAAGCACAGTCATTTCCAGAAAAGGCTCTGTTCTTATTTATCATTTTCTCTTACAAATTATGTTTTATATGTATATTATTGAAATAATACATTTGGATCACATTTCTATGTCTACAACAGAGCATTTGTCTTTTTTTACTCCTCAGCATCAATAACATAAGACAGAAAATTCTTCACTTATTTTTGACAGATGTAATGGACTGTGGCTTGTGCAATCATCTGCAGTTAAACAAAGAACTACAGTAAAAATATATTTATCTATTCTCACCAAAACAATTTTTCCCAGGGAGTAATAATCCTTGAAGACAGCAGAGTCGAAATGAACCGCATGTCAGGATTTGCTTCTGAAATATTGTTTATCTTAGAAAATGTACACTGTGAACTGTTTTGTGTTGTACAATTCAGGGTTCATTTCAAGATTTTCAGTAAATAAGTTACAATTCTTGACTCATTTAAGTAACAGGCAGTCCATGCTTCTTACTGAGCATAATTCATGTATACATAACTTGCCTTGTACACTGGTGTGCAGTCCAGTTAGAACAGGAAGGAGGTCATCTCAAAACTATTTCAACAAAGTTTTGAAGCGTAAAATTGTTCAAAATGTCTGGTAGACTGAAGCAGTCTACCAGAACCAGTATTCAGTTCTTCAGCAACATGATCTGAAGTATTTCGTCTGTTGAACTGGACCAGATTCACGAGCTGTAATCAGTCACTATTGATAGATACAGACCTCTGCTGATCAGGAACTCGCCACCAGAGTTTTGGGGATGTTCTGAACCGTCTTAATGGTCATAATTTAACCCTTCTTTAACTTCTTTTCATTTTTCCTACATCAAAAAGTTCACTTGTTGCCCAACATAGTTTGCCCACTGAAAGGCAAAATAATGAGATAAATAGAGATATTAACACCACCTCTCAGAGGTCATAAAGTTATGATTGATATGTGTGTATATCCAAAGCGTTTGATGTTCCCTCTCTTGCTTGTCATATTGTATTAACAGTTCTTTTCCTTACACAGGCACCTTCCTCACGTCACATGTCTCCGTTCAGATCTTCCCCTCGGTGCCTCCAACACGATCAGCATGTACACATCTGCCATCTCCCTCATTTCAGAGGGATTACCAGCCGGAGCACTGATGGAGATTTTTAAAAGTGGGTGGGGGGAAACTCAATTACTTTCTGGCTCCTTGAAACACCTGAGCACACTGAAGAGCGACAGGGCTGCCGCCTACGCACGGACAGCCTGCTGCATGGAGGAACATGGATTGAGAAAGAGAAGGGTGGCCTGAGGGACAGCTTTCATGATCATCTCTGTTCCACCTACTCGCAAAAAACAGTCATGACCGATTCAATGTGACGATCAACCTGAACCTCCCAACAACAGCTGCAGTTCAAACTAGTAGCTGTGAACTATAGTTAGCATAAACGTCATTTTTAACTTAATAGTATTAGAGCAAATGTTGAAGCAAGACAAATAAACTGGACTGACTGGAGTCAAAATGGTTTTGATTAATTTTACATATTTTCAGTGAACAACTTTGTAAATGTCTGTTGAAAAGTTGTAAATTTGTGAGGGAAAAAAAATCCATTATTGAAGGCATTGATTTTCAATATTAAAACTAAGGATCTTAAAAAAATGTTAAGAAAAAACTCAGTAGTTCACTGAGATAAAATCAGAAATGTGTGCCTTTATCACAGAAGTCATT